CCCCAAAACCCCAAAACCCCAAAACCCCAAAACCCCGTTAAGACGAGTTTGTTTAAGATTAGGGATAAATATTTTATTTCGAAAAATTAAATATAACCTTGAACAAATAGATGATCAGAACTTTAAAATTGCTTATATTTCATATATATTATTACTATTACTATGCAAGTTTATTTATCAACTCTTTGTCCATAATTGCATATCTTCTTCTAAAGCCTTTCTCATTCTATTTGCATTCTTGAGACTCATCATTAACTTAACATCTTTATTAAGCTCTACGAAGTTTTTGTTGCTTTTAGACCTGTTGCCTAGACGCTCAGAGGTCAGACACTCTACATTGTGCTCTCTCTTACTCATTCGCTTTATATTTATTTACTCCAGTTTGCCTGGTCCCAATTGAGATTCCATAAACCTCTTAATATTGCTATTGTGGAAAAATTCATCATAGGTCGATGATATCAAGTTGTTGAAATAGTCCTGCTAATTAGGATTAATCTCGTTCATTTCACTTAATAGACTTCCATGCTTATGCGGAATGTTGATGATTGACTGAGGACTGGAGGCATTTTTCGAGTAAACTATTTGATTCTTGCCGGTTGTCTTGTTTGAGTAGGTTTTTTCCTCTAGTTCGAATTCACTTACCAATCTCTCATTAAGTCTGTCAAATTTGAGCTTAAATTGACCTTATAACTTGCGTAGTTGATCTTCAGAATAGTAATTCAAAAGAGGCTTATGAGTCTTCAAATCGCTGTTATAGTCGTCTAAGTCATTTGTGTCTAAGTTCTTAGTAAGCTTAGTATTTGGCGATTCCTATTAATTAACGCCTGAAGTCTTGAAAATCTAATATTTAGACTTTTTCTCTTTTGCAATAAGAGGAAAATCGTTCAAAAATATTTGTCTTTGCTGCAGATACTTATCCTGATTCAATGAAAGATGTCGGTTAACTTCTGAAATTCTCCTTCCGAAGTTCAGATTTTACTTATTCTTCAAACTAATATTAGTCTGAGAACCATTGTATCTGAGTTTAAGCTTGTTATCATTTTGTTTATATTTATAGGTGAGCAATTCAGCATTGTCGAACATCATTTACTTCATGGCTTTAGTCCTGTTGAATTTATTCTGTTTCAAGTTCAAGCATCTCTTGGTATTGAAATTGTTATTTGTGGTATTGTTAAAGTTGGCATAGGTGGGAGAGTTTTCCCCAACACTCTCGGTCTTGTTGTCATTTACCTATTCCTCATGAGGCATCAGCTCGCTTAATTTACTTGACTTCTTTGGGACTGAGGTAAGAGGCTCACTTATCTGTGCAGTTTTACTTAGCTTTAAAGCCTGCTGCCTGCTCTTATGAATATGATCCATGTTTAAGCCTCCGTGGTTCTCAAATCGATCCAAGAATCTTTGCTTCTTATGATTGCTAGATGTCTGTATTATTTGTCTATTGCAAGATGTGGATTTCTGGCTTAAAATTCCATCATTATTTTGAATGATTTTGGAAGGACTCTATTATTTATTTTCATCTGAATCGTTCTAAACAATGTGTATGTGATGAGTCATCGGCCTTGGCTAGCTAATCACCATATTGCTTGCAAAGCTTTATATATTTGATTCGTTTTTATTTTCATTTTCTGGAATAATCTCAGAGAGTCCGAATTGTAACTCTTTAATCTATTCATATTCCTGATTAGGCTGATGATTATTCACTAGCTCAACCTAGGGCTAATCAAACTCATGCTAGATTTAAGATCCAGAAGCATGTAGTTCAAGCTTCTCTAATCCCTCCTCCTTTATAGTCTAAGAATTGGTCCTCTATATTAGTCTACCTGTTTGGATTATTATTGGGTTCTTTTCAGTCACAGGAGACATTTATCTTTTTTCTAAAATGTTTTAGGGACTGTTGCAAGTGCTATCTTATGCTGTCCTATTTCCACTAGCTTTTATCAGGCTTTATGCATTCTACTGCTACTATTAAATCTACTGTTGCTCCAATGATTAAAGCTTTAGTCTTTGCAGATACTGGGTATTTTGAAGATATATGAGTAAGTCCTAGTTCTTAAGAGAATTTTGGGACCGAGCCTAAGAAAGAGGGACAACCTTCTGCTTGATTAAGAATTATTTCTCTTATCTGATCGATTTTGATATTTTGAGGATCTAATTTTTATTATTTCTGGTTTTACTCTCGTCACTTCCAGCCTAGTATAACTTATTGAAAGGCAGACTGTGCTTGCTGCCATTACTTCCATAGTTATTCTCAGACCCATTAGCCCCACTCATGTTGTCCTTAGACTTATTGCTCCCCACTCTCTTATCTAGCTTCGGTGACTGAGGGGCTGTGCCAACTCCAATCAGCATGATCACAGAGTTCTAGGGATCCGAGGATTGAAGACTTCTGGATGCGGAAACTAGTCTTTTGGGGTCACTCTTTATCTTAAATTATGTGACCATTGATGAAGAGGACTTCGTTGTATCCTTGGAGAAGAGAGAGCTTGTGAGTTACGAGTCCAGCGTCTGAAATTTTTGCTTGTTAATGTTAAGAGGTCTTGACTTTTCTATGTTATTAAAGAGCATATTTATTTTATTAAATGATGTTAATACTTTGCGAAACATTAATCATTATCATTTATAAGCTTAAATTCAATCCCAAAATCTTTAATTATTTATATTTTTAGATTTCATTGAATAACTTAATCTGAAATATCTGACAGTGATGGGGTTTTGGGGTTTTGGGG